AATTTGTGGTGTTTGTTTGATGAAATTTAAAACGAGGTCAACTGTTGTACGTACTGGAATCTGGCCTTCGACGTTCAGCAATCGCAACAGTCGTCTTCTCAACTCTCATCTCACCGTGAAATCTTTTCTCGGCTCTCGCTTAACTCTCGAGAACATCGTTTTTTGTTTACTTGTGTGAAATTGACAGTGATAAGTTGTAGAAATCGTGTTTTTCTCTCATCGAGTAACAATTACAATATAAATTGAATTATTTTGGTCCAAAGTTTCGTAAGTTGAACCATTTATTTCCATTGTTAGATCCATTGCATTATTTCGCCGTTTATATGAACGTCGGTACTTCACCCTCCGGCCACCGGAGCTCGGCAATTAAATCGATTTGCCTTACGCCGATTAAAACGTCGGTCAAAATTACCTGGCCTTTCTCTAGACGACGGTACCATTCCCGTACAATTGTTTTGAACGCCGGGAAAAAGTTTTACCGGCATTTTTTTGTGTTTTACTGGCATTTGTCAAGCGCCTCTAATCCCTCTGTTTCTTGTAGTGGATTAATGTGAATAACCTGATTTTTCATGATCATAGTTTGATGTAACCAAAGCTTCCATGACCAGCAAAAAAAAAAAAAAATCAAAGCTTCCAGGAGACTATGTGTGTGTGTATATATATATATATATATATATATTTTTATTATATTATATAAATTTTTTTGGGTTCATTGGCGACACAGGTGGGGGTTAGAAGACCACGACTTGCTGGCCCGTATTTTTCCTGAGCATATGTTTGATAACACTATAATTTTGGGAGTTTGTCGAGGTAAGAATACATTTTTTTATAGTAATTCATACGAATAGAAAGGTAGATGCATCCATTCATCTATCCTATCCGATTATATTTTTATATCTAAAAAAGCCCTCTGGTCCCCGTCTCCGTCCCTCTCATGAATGGCTTTTGGTGCAATGGATAAATAAGTCATATTAGTTTCATGAAATCCAAGATAAACCAGATGGATTTAAGTAGAAAAATATAATATTTGACCACAAAGTAAAAATAATACTACTCAAATGTGATAGGCTCCATTGTTATCTCATACAATGAATGCTTCCTGTGAGAGCTAGTAGATGGTAAACTAAACATATGAATACGTAGCAGAATTCATTCATCAACTATAGGAACATATAAAAACAAAACTAGGATGGTACACAACCCACCAATCAATAGTGATTGGCTACATAATTAACACACAAGTACAATAATTATAACACTTTTTATACGTATATTATATAGTATACATACATAGGGTAATGGTACCATATATATTAAGCAGATCCCTTATCCCCAGGCTTGATCTTTTTCTTGTCCTTGAAATTTTTGATAGCAGAAGCAGCAGATTGGCCTATATACTCAGCCATCATCTTCGTCACTTTCTTCTTCTTCGCTGGAATCAAGCTCTCACCCTTGTCTTTGAAACCCGACCGGGTGTTGGAGGATGTTCCATCCCCAGAGTTCGCTCCCTTATCTGCCATGTGTCGAAAACTCTCTCTCTCTCTGTCTCTCTCTCTTTGTGCCTTTCTTTCTAAATGCTTGTTGTGGTAGTGAAGAGAAAGCAAGCAATGAGGGGTATTTATAGGCTGCAAACTCAAATTTCTTTCATTTCTTTGTGTGTGTTTGTGTGGTTGTGCATGTGTGTGTGTTTGTCAAATTGTATGGGAGCTCAAGTTATGAAGGGAAGTCTCGGTGTGATTGTATGGGGGTTGCTTTGTAAGCTCCAAGAAAAACCCATACAATTCTTCCTTTCTTTGTATGTGTTTGTGTGGGTATTAGTGTGTTTATATGTTCATATATGTGTGTAAATGTGTGTGTTTTTGTGTTTAAAATTGCATGGAAAGCTCAAGTATAAGGAAAATCTCTGTGTGATTGTGTGGGAGTTTATGTGTAAACTCGAAGAAAAAGTTGTTTTGTGGTTTTCTTCATATTTTTGTTTGTGTACATGTATTTTTAAAAATGTGTATTCAAGTTTAAAAGTAAGTCCATGCGTGTGATTGTGTGGGGCTTATGTGAAATCTCAGAGAAAAAACCATTCTGTGGTTTCCTTTGCATTTATATTTGCGTCTGTGTGTGCACGTCTGTGGCCTAAAATTATTATTTACTTATATATTAAACAAATTAAATTAGAGGAAAGATGATGGGGGAAGTTTCCCTTAATTTCAATTGTCCTCATTGTAGAATTTTTATGTATTTGCTTACAACACAAGATTCCATTCAATTACACTCTACATCCCATGTAAACACAGATCTATCCCCTCAAATTAACTATCATTCATTCAAAAAATTTAAATCAAATATATGTGTCACAACATATGTTATTAAAATAAAATTCTCTATTTTGATATATCCTTGATATGTGTGTGGGAGAAGGGAGAAGGATCGGAGACAGTTTGTAAATCCCATTCGTCGATATATATAACATAAATTTGATAAAAGTTTTGGGGGATACAATATTAGTGGGCGTTAATATACCAACCATTATTTTTATTACTCTGTGGAGTCCAAGTAAGAGGACTCGCATTGATAGTTTTGTGTGTTTGTGTGGGCGGGTGTGGGGTATGTGAATTCATGCATTATGTTCTGTTTGGTACGATGGAAAGTTGAAATGATAAATAAAACATCATGGTTGGTAAAGAAGAAAAGTAGGAATGATGGAAAAATGGATGGATTAACTTTCCTTCCAACTCACTAAAATTAATCCCTCCAAAATCCAACGAAAAGTGGATGAAAAGTTAATTATTTGTGTTGAGATGTATTTTATTTGTCTATATATCTTTTTATATATACATATATTATGTATACATTAACTTTATATAAAAATACAATAGTAAAATGTGTATATGTATATATATATATATATTAAAAAAGTTAAAAATTTTTAAATTTTAAATTAAAAATATATATATTTTTTCCATTTTAACAAAAGGTAAAAATTTTTAACTCAACACAATAACACGACTCGAACTCAATACGAAATTAAATAAGTTAACTCGAAACTTGATACGACACAATTAATTAAATGAGTTAATTTAGATTTGATTAATATTCGACACAAACCCGTAATGACTCAACACAAATCTGATACGACACGAATCGATTGTCACCCCTAATCTTAGCCAATACAAAAAAAAAATAGTCATTTTTATTTTTCATCCATCCAATCAAACACAAAGGAAGGAAAATGTATCATTCCTACTTTCCATCCTTGAAGGATCGAAAGTGTATCCCTCCTACTTTTCATCCTCCCTACTATAAGGAACATTAATATCCACCAATAAAAATACTTTATAGAATGACATATTAATGATATCTTGCTGACTTGAATTTCTAATTTGATTACATTGTTGTCCAAAGCAGAACTCACTCATAAATTGTCTGGAAATTTTGGAGAGAGAGAAATGATAATTCCTCTAGTTTGCATGGGTGTTCGCATCGTTAAGTTTGGAGAATAATAATATGTCCCTTGTCAATCACGTTGTCTAGTTACATAGACTTATTACCATTAAGCACTGGAACTTATTTCCTATAGTCATATATATGATAAAAGGAGAAATTACATAATTCCTCTAGTTTGCATGGGTCAAGGTTTACTGGTCCCACTATGGCCCACTTAGGATACCCATTTTCACAAAATTTTGTATTCCTCGCATATTTTCGGCTTAATTTGGGACTAGCCTTTTAATCTTAATGTGGTATATTGAAGTTGCAATTTGGCCACAAAATGTGCCTTTTTGGTCCCTTTTGTCCGGTGGTTAGGACAGTCGTTTCATGTCGAAGTCACGGGTTCAATTGTTGTAAAGGATAAGATAGGTGTTCATTTTCGACAACTTTCAATTAGTGTTTATTGCTAGTGAACGGGTCCTATTCGGACTTCTGGGTTAATAGGTGGTAGTCGGACTTGAAAAGGTTAGCTTAAATGACTTTTTGTTATCTTTCCTATTGCTAAGAATCAATTAGTCATTTTCTTCTAAATCAAACTGATTTTGATAGAAAAAAAAAGTTGGTCAACACCAACTGCGAACGAGACTTCTTAGTGGAAGTTCGATCAAAATCAGTCTAATTTATTTATGCTATAAAAAAAAAGTGATATAACTTAACGTAACCTGTTGACAAGACTATTGATGACAAGACTATTGAATCACTATAGTCGATTTTTGTTTGTGTTCAACCATTCGGTTTTACATTTAAGTAGGCTTATACCTAGTTAAAAAACTTGATTGGCATGTCTTGCATATAGATTTCTACTGATTTTTAATTTTGTTAAGGTGCCCCTCATCGAGTAACAAAACTTTCCTTTCGTTGGATATTATTGTTTGATTCATTGGTTCATGACTATTAGAGCTCAGGAGCACCTATGGAAAATTAGAAATATTGAGGGGAGATGTGTCTTACAAATCGCAAGATGAAGAGATATCATGAAGAATTCAATCCTAGACCTAAATTTTTTGATTAGGCATTGTATAACTCCTTTTGAAATTAGAGAATTCTTTTTTTTTTTTTTTAGAATTTTATAATTATAAAAATCAAGTCAACTTGTAATTTATTGGGAACCTATGGTTGACATAGTTAATATATATCAATCTGACCATTACATGATCAATTATCAAAATATTTGACACCATTAATTTAATAAATTGGATTAGGATTGATTAATATTTTAATAACCGATAGAAACCCAAAATAGCAAGAGACGATGTGAATCGATTTCCATCCTACTAAAATGCTTCCTGTAAGAACTATTAGATTTGGTAAACTAAACATACGAACTCTTGGCAAACTTCATTTATGAACCATAGGAAACATATATAGAACATGGAAACAAAACAAATACACCACCCACTAGTACCTAGGGATTGGCTTGGCTACATAATCAAACAAGTTCGAGTCATACTTTAGAAGTGTATAGTATATACTATATAATAAACATATGGTACTATATTAAGAAGATCCCTCATCACCAGGCTTGATCTTTTTCTTGTCCTTGAAATTGTTGATAGCAGAATCAACGGATTGGCCTATGCGCTCACCAATCATCGTCTTCACCGACTTCTGCTTCTTCGGAAACAAGCTCCCACCCTTGTCTTTGAAACCCGGACGGGTCTCGGCTGTTCCCTCCCCAGTGTTCACCACCCTATCTGCCATCTCTCAAAAACACTCTTTTTTGCGTGCCTTTCTTTCTAACAAGTGCTTGTTGTGGTTGTGAAAAGCAGGCAATGCTGGTATTTATAGGCGCCAGACCAGACTCACATTTCTTCTTTGTGTGTGTGTGTGTGTGTGTGTTTGTAGGTGTGTGTTGGTGTGTATTTGTGCAAGAAAGTTTATAAGTAATCTCTGTGTTATTGTGTGGGTTTTTGTGTATAAACTCGGAGAAATACCCAATTGATTATTTTCTTTGTATTTGTGTTTGTGTGCATGTTTGCGGCCTAATATTAATCAATATAATATCTATATATTTAAAGGCTCAAATTAAAGGAACATTCGGTCACATTCTACCACATTTCTTATATAGCCACTCTACCACCCCGCTAACTTACTGCCATTCATTTCAATTTAAAAAAAAAAACATTTTAATCACCCCATAAGATACTATATTCCTCTATCTAATATCCCAAATACGGGTGTGGAAGAAGGAAAAAGGGTTGGAGCCAGGGTCTAAATCTCATGCATCTCAAGGGTTTGCCGCTAAAATTTTATTCACTAAAATTTCTATAATTATTTTAGGACTATGAATATGTAGTGTTAATTGATACGTAATATTTGATATAAGTTTTGGTGTACACAGCATTATGTAGGAAGTTAATTTAGGAACCATTGTTTCTATGATTGTGTGGACTCCCATTTGTAGTTTTGTGTGGTTGTGTGTGGGCGTTTTTGGGTAGATTAATTCATGCATAAAACATAATGTAAAGGGTCAATGACATGTTAATGACATCTTGCTGACATAAATTTCTAATTTGATTAAAAGTTGGCTAATTTAAAGTGTAAGTCAGTCATAGTTGTCCGGAAATTTTGAAGAAAAAACATAGTGTAAAACAAGAAATTACACTACCTCCGGTTTGCATGTGTCAACTTTTGACGTCCCGTCATACTCAAACAAGAAACTTAAGATTCCTATCTTTTCTCACATTTTGAAGTTGCAGTTCTGGCCATCAATTTTTTTTTTTTTTGTTAGTTAAGATTACCTCGCCCAAGGGTTATCAAAATAACGAGACCCCATTAAGTATAGATAATTGTACTAAAAACGCTAAAGGATGGGGTATGTCAATGGCGATAAATTTGTAAAGTTATCAAATTATCATAACACAATCAACGAACAACCAATGGATTTCTAATGATATTAATAATCAAAATGAAGTTGATTAATTAAATGGTTTCCTTGATTTGGTTGATTTTAGTGTCGGTGTGAATCATATGAAGTGTAAGGCATATTTAAGTCAAGAACAAATGATTCAAATATACAATAAAAATTACATACCAGCTTACTTGCACCACGAAAACAGATCAAAAATAAAGGACTTCTAGATCCCTTTTGAGGTTGGAGGTGATTGCACATGAGAGTAACAATGGTTTCACCACACAAACACAGTGAAGACGGTTTTAATTTTTATTTTTATTTTTGACCTAATTGCTCATCGCCAATACATTTCTTTAGCGACAAATTATTTGTTGTGGCAAAGTTTTTTTTCCAGAGAAAGCTACTACGAAAACATTTGCAACAAAGCCTAAATTGTCATTAAAAGTATTTTGTTAATAATGTGTTTTATATTTTTGTTTTTGGTAAGGCGTGAATAGAACAAATACTTTTCACGCCTCGCAACGCGGTTGCTTTTGAAACCAATGAGAGTCGGAGTCGAGGTAGCACCCTAATAACTGAATTAACCAAAGTCCATGGCTTGTCTAATACAGAGAAAGTGTTTTTGGATTGCAAAGCATTTCTATCGGAAAACTTTTGGAAAGTCCAGATTTTTCAAAGTCATGGAAAGTGGAGGAGAAAAAGTCATGGTAACAAGGAGGTTTCAAATAATGGGCTAGGCAATGTGCCCTGCGGTTTGACCAAATTTTTGACGGGTTCCTTAAGGAGGTGGGCCCATAGAACTAGTATGGATATCTTACAAAAGTAATGTTATAGTATTTTTTGTGAATTAATTAATATGATTATATTGAATTAAGTTTTCAAATTAAATTTAAATAATATTTTTTTAAAAATTCGTTCATTACAAAATTAAACATCTAATGATATAAAAAAAAATTATATCCTTAACAGCACCGTACTGGCAGAAGCCATGGCAGCGTTACCTGCGGCATTATGGTCATATCAAGAGAACCGGAGTTATATAACTATTAAAGGAGATTGTCAGGTGATAAAGGGCGAAGGCTACGGGATCAAATAAAATATCATATTAAAATTTATAATTATTTAAGATTAAGTTATAACTTTTTTAATGTGTCAGTTATAATTTTTAAAAGTTAAGAATAAGGCTGTTAATCAAACTGAGTTACTTGAATTTGACTTGAGTTTGCACAATGAAGTCAAAATGACATAATAGACTGGACACTCAACCAGAGAGGATCCGACTCGTGGCATAAAGTATAGGATAAGGGGTAGAGAAACAAAAATACCCCTTCTGATTTACAGCTATCCCAGGCAAACATTTAACAAATCTTGAGTGATGTGACATCCACAATAAGCATGAGAAGCCGAAGATATGGAGTATTAAATGCTCTGAATTTTAAACATGTAAAGTCTTTACATCGATAAAAGAGTATTAACTGCTTAGCAGCCCGAGCAATCAATAACGGGGTCTCCCACATGCAAAATAGGAGACACATTGTCCTATGTCTAAGTGTTACCTACTGACTAAGTCATCAATAATGATGAGTCTTTAGAGGTATAAATAGTTCCAAAAATATGAATCAAAGATGCGCAAAATCACCCCTTAAGAATAATACAATACTTTCTTCTTCCTCTTTCTCAAAAAATTTATTTGATCGTCGGAGGGGATACGCCAAAAAATACTCCAACGCCCTTCTAACTTGTTTTGAATGTGTCAGGAGTATCCTGCGATCCACCGGAACCGGTTGGACAGCCGCTGGAACAATTCATCACCACTCCTTAAACCTCCCTCAACTCATTCCTTACTGCGGGATCCACCACATTCTCAACGAATACGAGTTCACCAAAGAAGAGATCTGTCTTTTTATATATTGTGCAAAAATCACCGCGCATAACACCTTCTAAAGTCTTGTTTATGCAATTTCATTTCTAAACTTTACTTTTCAGAAATGACCTTTAAATTAATCGTAGATGTCATCAATTTTGGTGAACACATTATTATTGGACGATAGGCAACAATATACCGACCATTATTTTTATCATTGTGTGCACTCCGAGGAAGAAGACTCGCATTTGTAATTTTGTGTGTTTGTGTGGGCGGGTGTGGGTAGAAAAATTCATGCATAAAATATTGACCAATAAAAACTTTATAGAATGACGTCTCAATGACATCTTGCTGACTTGAATTTCTAATTTGATTACATGGTTGTCCAAAGTAACGACAATTCCTCTAGTTTGCATGGGTCAAGGTTTGCCGGTCCCACTATGACCAACTTAGTATACCTTCATTTCACAAAATCTTGTATTCCTCCCACATTTTCATTTTAATTTGGGACTAGTAGCCTTTTAATCTCCATTTGGCATATTTGAAGTTTGCAATTTGGCCATCAATAGTGCCTGTTTGGTCCCTTTTGTCCGGTGGTTAAGACAGTCTTTTCATGTCGAAGACACAAATTGTATTTCCAAAAGAGATAGATACTCATTTTCAGCTACTTTCAGTTACTGTTTATTATTAATTTATTGCTCACTGTATCTGATTGAAGAAGATAGTCCAAAAACTTCATTTCCTAACAAATAAGACGGGATCACTTCATTTCCTAACAAAATGTAATTTGCCCTTTAATGAAAATATCTTCTTCTTTTCTATGAAAATAACTTGAAACCCATTGAATTTGTTGCTCGCATTGAACACCATAGTTTGACATAATGAAAGCTTGAGACTAAAACTTTTTTTGGGAAAATTGGAAGGAGGTGCACCCAATTAGACTTAATTATCAAAAAATACATAGAAAAAAATATTGGGTAATTAAGTCCTTAATTTTGATATTTATTTGTATCTAAATACATTATTTGAATTTTACTGATTTTTTTTGTGACATTTTGCCCTCTATTAATCCATGTGTATTTAATGCACCACTTTTCTTTGAAAAATGATGCATTAAATATCTCCTAGTTTTATGAGATAATTTTAATATAATATATATATACATTTATGTATGTATGTATGTATATATACTTATATATATGATTCATGCATTATATATATACACTTTTATAAATACTTATGTATGTATGTATATATATACCTGTTGTTAAATATCTTATTTAAATTTTGAATTATCTTTAATGCACCTTGATTCATGCAATTTTTTATTTTGAAAGTGATTTTATTTTTAAATTAATTTAATATCCAAATAGTATAATAATGTAACAATAAAAGTGTAACAATATAACAATAACAGTGCAACAAGCTATTTACACAAAATATTGTACTATTACATATTATCAAACATATAATTTCATTCAAAATAGTACATTTTCGTTTTGCATTTGTTACCACATATACAAAAATATTGAACACTGTTTTTGTTACACTGTCTTTGTTACAGTGTATTTGTTACACTGTTATTGTTACACTATTATATTATTCGGATATTAAATTAATTTAAAAATAAACACAATTTTTCAAAAAAAAAATGCTTGAATCAAAGTGCATTAAATATAATTTGAAAACAAAATCACTTTTAAAAAAAAACGCATAAATCAAGGTACATTAAAGATAATTCAAAATTTAGATAAGAGATTTAACAACAAGTATATATATATATATATATATATATATATATATATATATATATATATATATATATATACAAATACTCATGAATCAAGATGCATTAAATAAGTATTTATTTGTATTAAGAAACACACATGAATCAAAGAATATTAAAGATAAGAGATTTTGAATTAAATGATCCTAAAATGGGTATTTATGTCTTTGTAACTTAACAGTTAATTTTTTTAAAAAATATTTTGTTCTATATACTTTTTGTCAAATAAATTTAATTAAGTATACTGACTTTCAAAGAACTCAAATTTTTTTAACGAGTGTCGTCGATGGC